CGCTCTATTTGACATCATTTAGAACTAAACAACATTCAATTTAACAAACAAAAAAAATGAAAACAAATACTATCAAATTGATTGATCTGAAGAAAATATTATGTTATATAATTTAGTCAATTATTTTGTTTCAACGGAATGAGGATTGGATAAAATAATGTTACAATCAGCAAATTCTTTTGAATTATTTTTACACTTAGCTATTCGAAAGGCAGCTTTGCGGGCACACTCCATCAAGGCATGAATTAAGTACTCAGGAACACCGCATTGTTCACATTTCGGTGACGGGACTTTATTCATTAGAAAAGCAAACTTCTTGGATGGAATGTGTCCAGAACGCAGCCTCATAATCACTACTGCGTTCTTTCTTAATGATATGTGACTATCAATCCATGGAATTCTGAGAGGATGTGGCTGAACCGTTTAATACCAGATACCTTGTTCCGACTCCATAATGCATCTTATGTCTCTGTATATTTTTAATTGTAGACTAATGTTGCATTGTGGGTCATAAAATGCCGAACTAATTCCACTTCCATCCTTAGATCCATCAGTAAAGAGTTTATAATAATTTTTATATCGCTGGTTGATAAAATCCAAGCATACTTTAAATTAAAATTAATGTAGCTTCGCTTTTTTTTTAAAAGATTCGGATCTGATGGGGTACCTAAGGTGGCCTAGATTTTGGTTGTAGATTCGGTCTTGCAACGTGCCGTAGCGACTCTGTCCCACTTGCCGGTTTGCTCGCGGACGTAAGTCCTTATGTCCGGGACTTATGTCCGGGACGGGGGTTTGTTCGCGCCCAAACGCTAGTTTCAAGATTTGACGCCAGAGGGCGCTCGGCTCGATACGGCGCGTTTATAACCGGTTAGACGTGTGGGCGGTTAACGGGAGTTTTGTTGCCAGCGGGCCGCGTCCGGGGATTGCAGGCAGTTGGTTCCTATCGGCGGCTGGGTCGAATCGAGCAGTAACTTTAGGGCCGCGGCGCCGTCGCAACGTATCTAATTTGTGGTGGCCGTGGCAGCGATTTCGTGCGACCGGTTTTGGTTTTATGGTCTAGATTTTTTTAGTATTCGTGCGCGTTACTTCGCTACTTAAATTTTGTAAATGAAGATCGCCTCGGATTAGGTGGTATAAGTGCTTGCTGTGTGTCGAATCGAGCCGCGTGGTTGCCTATAGCGCCGAATTTGTTAATGGATTTGGTCAGCGACGAATAATTGTGTAGTCTAGAACATTAGACTCCAGGTTGGCTAATTATTGAAAAGTTAGTGTTTAATTGTACCGTTGCGTTAAGCGCCTTAAAAGGTCGCGTTCGGTTTTCGAAATAACTTGTTGCGGAGTGACAAAAGTGAACTTTGACCCATCACTCGTGCCACGTGTTACGTTTTTGATTATAATTAACGGGATTTAGTTGCGTCTTGAAGTTAGTTAAATGTACGATAAAGTTAATAGACCGACATAGTGAATTTAAGAAGGAAATAGTCCATTGCTGCCGCCGCTGGAGAATACCACGCTGGGGGGCGGTGCCGGAGTCAGCGTGGCTGCTGATTAAAAGGGCTAATTCAGGTTACACAGATTTACACTTCTAACACACTACTCACATTCACGACAATTACGCCTCAACGAGCCCTGGGAGCCTTTTTCGCCAGCGAACAGGTACGTACTATTTATTCACCTAGCCTTCTCCCTGTTGTTTAGTAGGATAGGACATTTTCCATAAGTCCAGTTGGGCCCTCTTGAATAATATTTTCCTCAATGTTAAATAAGGTACACTATCGTATGCACCTATTCACCATTACACGATGTGTGTAAGTACACAATAGCGAGAAGTATTTTCGGAGGTAAGACTGCTCAGCGAGAGAAAACAACGCGACTATAGCGGACAAGGGCCCACAGCGAACTCACTTTTACATGTTATTTAATTAATTTTCATGAATAAAATGTCTATATTTGCTACTTTCATTTAAAGGTTGCAATTATTATATCTATTCCATTGTTTTAGAAGTTTTTCTGGAAAAAACTTAAGCTACTATAACCGATAGCTTAATTAAATCCAAACGTAAAGCGCCACAATGATATACAAGAGTTATAGAAATAGACAAATAAAATATGTAAAGAAAGAATATTCTCATTTACTATTTCTAACAGTAGACTGTAATAGGCTGATTAAAACGACGTAAGCATTCGTGCAAAAATCAACCAAAATCGACCAATTATATATAATGAAAGTCTTTTCGTCACACCATGATAAGATATAGTAGATTAAGTATTAAAGTAACGAAAATAATTGATAATAGTTCATTGCTACAGAACTAGATAATATTCCACTAAACCACACAGATATCCCTTTACAATATCTCGGTTTAAATGTATTTATTTTTCACAAATATAATATACATTTATTTTTATAACATAACACAATATTTAATTATATACAATATTAATAATAGTAATAAAAAAATTAGTAACTTAATTACCATATATTCCTACTCTCCGCGGTATCGGGCCAATAACGCTAGCTACGTTTCTCCGCTGAATGGCTATACTTAGCCTTTGACCGAGAAAAAAACCAGCCCTCTTATCACTAGTAGCAACGAACAGCCGCGGATGGAGTTACTTTAGGAACACATGAACCTCACGGACTAATAGTCTCTACAGCAAAAAGTCTCTACGGCACAAATATGTAGTCATCTTTCAGAGACTCATATTTGCGCCACTTACTCAGTTGGTCGACATATCGAGTAACGTGCAGTTTCGTAGTCACTTGGAAGAGAAGGCCAAATTGGCCTCTGAAAAGCTTGGCGTGCTCAGTAGAGCGGGACAGTATTTCATGCCGGCTCAACGCCTGCAACTTTACAAGGCGCAGGTTCGGCCTCACATGGAATACTGTTCCCATCTCTGGGCTGGGGCTCCCCAGTGCCAGCTCCTTCCACTTGACCGCATCCAGCGCAGAGCGGCTCGAATCGTTGACGACCGAGTCCTTTCCGATCGGCTCGACTCATTAGCACTGCGAAAAGATGTTGCATCTCTTAGCATTTTCTTTCGCATTTACCATGGGGGTGCTCTGAGGAATTGTTCGGATTAATCCCAGCCGCCAAATTTCACGAACGCACATCGCGGCAGAACTCCCGATACCATCCACACCATCTGGATGATTGGCGGTCCACTACTGTGCGATTTAGAAGATGTTTTTTTCCTCGCACAACTTCCTTGTGGAATAGTTTACCACCTGCGATTTTTCAGGACCGATACGACTTAGGGACCTTCAAGAAAAGAGCCTACTCCTTTTTAAAAGGCCGGCAATGCATCTACAATTCCCCTGGTGTTGCGGTTGTTCATGGGCGGCGGTAGTCACTTACCATCAGGTGAGCCGCATGCTCGTTTGCCCCCTCTCCTATAAAAAAAAAGTTTAGCTGTCTCTGATGCCACCCCGGCTCTAAATAACCCTTATAAAGTTTTAAATATTATAAAATCTATTTTAAAAATTAAAAAGCTTATGTTATAAAAAAATAACAATAAATACATGACATAAGCTGATGTAATTATTAAGTAATGACATCGAACATAATAATATTATTACATCCTACTTTATTATCTCTAACAAACAAATATGTGAGTAAAGTTTTCTCATTAATACACGTTGGCGCAAACTTTGGCGTGTTGTCGATTGCTTTATAGCTATTAAACTTCTGTATGGTTTACCAAGCAGGATTTATTGCGTTCAATTTATTCAAAATTCAATGTGTAAAAAGGTTAACATTTTTTTTAATCCTCAAGCATCTAGTCAGTATACTTATATCTATAAGTGTAAAAAATAGAACGTAGTATCAGTCGTTATAATGGTAATTGAGTGCTGTGGCTAATAGGCCCTACGCATCTGCATTTTGATTCTTAGTCGGGGATAGATATCACTGACTAAGAATCAAAATGCAGATGCGTTGTTATCCTTGAGGATTTAATAGAATGCCTAGGTGTCCGTCTGGTCCCCTCCGAAAGGATTCCCGCCTTGTCGTAACGGGGGGGCTTAGTAGCCGTGGCTTAGTCACCCGAGGTGAACAAAGAGGAAGCCCTTGGCTGGCCCGTGGTGTAGGGCAGGCCCAAGGTGGCCACTCCGAGTAGGCTTGGCGAGCCCACTTCGGATGCGTGTTGGTAGGTTGCGGTGATAGGGGTGTCCTCTCCCCCTACCGCTGCAGCTGAGGTTGAGTCGCGGGGGAAGAGGAGTGTTGGTACGGTGATGTGCCACTCACCCTATCCTCCGCGACTCCGACGGGGCCACACCGTTGATGCGGTGGTGGTGGGTCCGCGTTGGGAGAGGAGTGTCGGTATTGGGAGGCGCCGCTCTCCCTACTCTCCGCGGCCGAAACGTAGTTGGCGGCGGAGACAGAGACCAGATCCGCCGCTGGGGTCGGGAAAGCGGGTGCTACTAAGCGATCGATTTTCCTGGCCCCCTGGCCTCCGCGTATCGTACCCGAGGAGGTTCGATACGCAGATGTAGTTGGAGGCCGTGGAGAGAGGCTTGCTTTGTATTCCTGGTGCGCCTTGCCTGAGGAGAATGGGGAGGAGAGTCCTCTCCTGAGAAGAGACTGCCATGGGATGGCCGGCGCTGGTGAGGCCACGGATGTGTGTGAAAGCGTTTCTGTGGTCCTGCCAATATGCGGCAAGGGAGCAACATCATGGCGTTTTAGTCGGTGCGAGTCCGACATAACCCGTTCTTCCCCCGCGAGGCGAGTATGCGTAGCCATTTTCCCATGTAAAAAAAAGGTGTCCGTCTACATTCTACAGGCGAATAATATTTCTGGTACCAATGTGTTGCAATCTGAATGATATAGAGAACAAGTAGAGACATACTATGAGAAATTCCATCTAATTCCTCATAGGTAATAGCGCATTTGTGGCCTTTGTTTGTAGTTGTATGCAGCCGTCCATAACAAGCAGTAGTCACTTATTATCGTGCGAATTACGTTAGCTGCAGCCGCAGGACTTAAAAAAAACCAATTCTTAAAATATAAATTTAATAAAAGAAAGGTTACATTAATTCTATAACTAAATTAAAATGATTAGCTAGGTCGAAGTGTGACCGAAGAATGACGAAATCCGGTGCTCACTTCCACGGGCGTCGGGTTGTCGGCGCCTGCTGACTCGGCGTCTCGTGACACGCGGCTCCGTCGTGTTCGTCTTTAAGTAGGTTTTACATACTTGGCGATTTTAGTGTAATAGAACTACGTAATTCCTCCCCCCACAGTTCAGCGACTATTTTCCAACTTTGAGGGAAAATGTTGCTGGATATGCTTTTGCGTTTTTAGGATCTTCATAGGAATGCTTTCCAGGTGCTGGCAGCTGGCTGCTCTGCTGTTGCGGCTTACTGCGTCTCCACAGATTGAAACGTCGACAGATCATTACAATGGCTGTTATGATAAGTGAGCCAATTATCATTACATAAACGGGAATAGTTGTGTGGTACAGAGTGTTGCTAGCTATGGTGTCTTGTACCATTATCGGCTCTCTCATGACTTGACTGTAGGCTTCATGTAGTTTTCTCAGGTCGATGGATTGCAGCGAGATTCTGTGTTGAGGTGTGGTTTCTTCTTTGAAGTTACGTGGGATATCGGTAATTATTAGTGGCTGTCCGGATACTTGGTTGTTCTCGTTAACTATTGTAAATTCTGACGTCATCAATGTGCAATTTAAGGGTATGGTTACCAAATAACTTCCTTGAAGCTGCTTGTATTCTTCTCTTCCGCATCGTAGATAGATTGTTGTAGTGCGAGGGAATGTGACAACATAGTTCCCGGCGTCCAGTTGCTCCATGGCTTCCTTTTCCAATGTTATAGTGGTCAGGTTGCAGTCATCTCCTAGGGCGTGGTTTGTGACGAGGTCTCGTGTGCAGTCGTGATGATTCTTGACTCTGTTAATGGCATCGTCTTCGCAGAGGTACTGCTGGTCTACCTTCGGGCATTCAGCCTCCATATACGCATACGCTTCCCTATTGGTTGCTAGGAAAGGAAGGGGTGGAATAAGGATCTTGTTATACCTATTCGGGGCTATCGAAAGTTTATACAGATCGAATACGTTCGCACTAACTATGGGAACTTTAAAAACTATAACTATCTGCTTTTCGACGTAATATGAGCCTGGTTTTATGATACTATAATAGTCGCGTAAATCTAAATTTAATATTCTATCATCCCCATATATCATTCTTACCCTTTCTATCATTAACCTTAAACTATCGATATCTATCATTGAATGATGCGTGCTTAGGGCACGCACAAGAGCTAGCATGTTTTCTATTCTAACTAATTCTCCCAACAAATCATTGACGTTTTCTGTTATGATGGTCAGAAGCTGAGCGAAATGAGCATATTTTATTAAACTATTTTCTTTATAAGCAGTGCTATTCAACAAAAGTTCTAACGTAGCATTAATCGATTGCTGATTTCTAACTAACTGGTCTATGACGCTGTTATGTTGCGTCATCCATTCCTTGTTGAGACTTATGTGCGAGTTAAATTCCGATATAATTTTAACTTGGTTATTTTCGAGATTTTTTATTGCATTATCAAATTTAATAGCATCCTGATAATCTAGATTTCCTGTTAAGCTTTTAATAGCAGATCCTAAGCCATCAATTAAACCTCTCTTGGCCCGACTAGGTTCGAGTCCTTTTAAATGATTTAAAACTCTATTGATTTTATGAGATAAATAGTTAATTTGAAGAGAATATAGGGAAAACGTATCATTATTTAATCTTAATTCAAAGTCAGATAACTGCTGTCTCACTGCAATAATTTTGTCTTCTATATTATTGATGCGAATATACTGTAAAAAGCTATGGTAATGTGACACTAGACGAGTTCTACCTAATTTATAAGGAAGGAGGCCAGGACCATCGTTAAGTCTTATCTCCTGTGTTTGAGCAAGATGCACCATTATCACCAACGGAATTCTGTAACAATTTAGCGCTATTAGGGACACGCTTAATGCGAGCTTTGGCAACGGGACCACGTTTTCGTGAAGTATAAATATGTATAGGTAGGTTAGCTAGAACGATATCGTTAGTGTATCTGGGTGCTAATTTTTGTCGGCTAGCAAGCGGGTTTTTTATGAAAATTTGCTGTTGTGGTTCATACTGAATTTCGGGTTCTCTATCCTTATTTCTATTCTCAATTAAAACTGTGCGATCATGTAAGGCAGACTGGTTTATAATTTCATAAACTAATTTCATTTGTTCTCTATGATTTTGAGTATACTGTTGAAGTAGATGCTGGGTAAGGTCTACACCTACCGGGTCTCTGGGGTCAAAGTGACCTGTTATTATATCGAAGGGCCTGCATTTCGTGAAACTGTGCACCGAACTATTGTAAGCGATAATCGCATATGGTACTAGGTTTACAGCTGGCTCGTCTTTACGCTGAATTTTCAGTAATCGAAGATGTTCGAGCAGAGTTGAATAGAAACGTTCTACATTTCCATTGTCGTTTGGTGAATGGGGAAGTATTTTATGGTGGTTAATATCGTGCATTCTTAAAAATTCGGAAAATAGTTGGTTGGTGAATTCAGTGCCGTTATCAGTTACTATGGTTAAGGGTAAACCATGGTGCGTGCAATATTTTAGTAAGGCCCGTAAAACGCTGATGGCTGTACCGTCGTGTAAATGATAGGCTTGACCGTACTTGGAGAATACGTCGACGAACGTAACTTATTTTTCGCTATCTACTGTGAACAAGTCCATATGAACTATTTCTAGAGGCTTGGTTGGAGGCGGAACAACGTTAAATCTTGGTTGGATAGGATTACGGTCGTATTTACCTTGACCACACACAATACATTCATTAATGAATTTTGTTATTTGTTCTTTCATTTTTGGCCAGTAGTATTTTTTCGAAAGAGACAAATAACACTCATTAATGCCTCTATGGTTGGTCTTGCCCTCGTGATAGTGTTTAATTGTTTCTTGTTGCCTAAGGTAAGGTTTAACGTTTTCAAGTTCGCTTTTGGCAAGTACGAGGTTCATCGCGGAGCTTTTAAAGTTATTCTGTATGATAGGTATAATTGAATAAAGTCCTAACGGGGGGTTGATTAGAATTCCTGTTTTAATTTTTGGGTTCACGAACTCCTTTATTACGTTTATAATATCGGTTTCTAAATTTGATTCCGTTACTTGCACCGAAATACGGGTATGTGTGTCGAAGGGCTTCGAAACCGCGGGACGCTTTTTTACGTCACCTACGATAGTGATAACCAATTGGCGATGAAATTTGTTTAGTGGTTCATCGGTTATTGGAACTTCCAATATGGGATTTTCGTGACTCGTATGAATGGTAGCGGTTGTAGAACCATGACTGCGTTCTGGATATTCTGAGGGATTCGCTAGAAGGGAATTAGTATCTTCGTTATGGATCTCAATGCGACTGAGTGCATCTGCGTTCTTATTTGATTTCCCTTTCTTGTAGACTACAGTGAAGTCGTATTCGCTAAGCTTTAAGCGCCATCGAGTAAGGCGAGAGTTCGGTTCCTTTAAACTCATGATCCACTGTAAAGGTTTGTGGTCGGTAAGTATTTTAAATGTCCTGCCGAATAGGTATGGTCTAAAATATTTAGTGGCCCATACTATTGCCAGGAGCTCTTTCTCGATGGAGCTGTAATTTTGTTCACTATCATTAAGTGTTCGCGAAGCATATGAGATGGGTTTATCCGAGCCTATTGGCCCTTGAGACAAAACAGCACCGATGGCAAAGTTTGACGCATCGGTAGTAAGGATAAACTCCTTACTAAAGTCCGGGTATTTAAGGATTGGATCGTTCGTCAAAAGAGTTTTACATTTCTCAAAACTGTTTACATAATCGGGGTCAAAAGTGATTTTTTTACCTTTTTTTAGACATTGTGTCAATGGTTTTGTTATTTTTGCAAAATCTGGGATGAATTTAAGGTAATATCCTAATAGTCCTAAGAACTGCTTTATCTCCTTAGGAGATTTAGGTATGGGATATTTTTGTATCGCTGCTATTTTGTCTGGATTAGGCTTCACGCCTTCGCTACTGATGATATGGCCTAAATAAGCCGTTTCTAGCTTAAGGAACTCTGATTTGTCCATTTGCACTTTGAAATTAGAGTTCCTAAGTCTCTGGAAAACTTGTTCTAAGTTGACCATGTGTTCCTGCAGCGAGGTGCTGAATACTATTATATCGTCCAGGTACACCAAACAGATCTGGTTCTGGAGACCTCGGAGGATGTTATCCATCACTCTTTGGAATGTGGAAGGCGAGTTCTTCAGGCCCATGGGCATCCGAAGGAATTCGAAGTGGCCGTGTTCGACATTGAATGCCGTCTTTGGAATGTCAGCGGGGTCCATTTCTACTTGGTGAAAACCACTGGCGAGATCCAGGGTAGTAAAATATTGGCATTTGCCCAGTTTGTCCAGAACATCTGAGATATTCGGTATAGGGTATTTGTCATTTATGGTTTTTTCATTAAGTTTACGAAAATCTACCACTAGACGCCATTTCTTTTTCCCCGAGGCGTCCGCTTTTTTTGGGACAATCCAAATCGGTGAGGACCATGCGGACTCGGAGGGACGTATAATGCCTTGAGATAACATTTTATTTATTTGATCGCGTACCTCTTGTCGATGAACAAAAGGATATCGATAGCTCTTTGTGTATATCGGAATTTCATCGGTCGTACGGATGCGGTGTTTTATTTGATTCGTGAATGTTAAGTTTTCACCTTCGATATAAAATATGTCATGATATTTGGCACAAAGAGTCATCAAATTAGCCTTTTCTTCTTCGTTAAGGTGGTCAGTGCGGAGTCGCGATAAAACGTCTTTAGCTCGTTCGGTTATAGGCTGGGTGCGCGTGCACTCAACGTTAAACAACTGTGCGTGAACGGGGCGTTCCAGAGAAAAAACGATATCGTTATCGCTAGTATTCTCGATCTCTAAAATACCTCTATTTTGGGAAACGCTGGTAATGCATTCGTGAATGACACAGTTACATAAAATTTGTTCAGGGATATAGACGTCACCATCACTACTGTCAATAGGAATTCTAACTAACTTTGAAGTATTCGCAGGAATTATATCCTCGTACAGGTTCACGTTTCGTGAGTTATATAACAATATTGGGTTCACTGCAAACCGAGTAGTTAAGTGTAATGCTTTTAAATCGATCTTTGCTTCCCACTTAGTTAACAGATCGAGCCCAATTAACCCGTCGAAATGGTTATGAAATTTATACACGAAAAATTTTATCGGTTCGCTATCGTTAATTTCCGGAAAACAGGGCACCGTAATGGAATAATCATTTCGACTAACAGCGTGAACATTAGTGACTTCGAAAGGATCATAGTCTAGTTGATAATGAGGGAAAATCTTTCTATAGCATCCGGGCTCAAAAATGATTGATTCGCTCCGGTATCGATGAGAAGCTTCAACGGAGGGTCTAAGATCTGAATAAATGGTAGCTGACGCTGGGTTTGCAAATTGACTTCTATCTTGGCTTGTTTGAAGGGGAATCCTCGTGAAAATTTTCCTGTTGGCTAGTGGAAGGCTGAGGATCGTTTTCTGTATCATTGACGCTTGGATAATCGTTTACCGGAACAAACTCGGGACCGTAGCTCTCGGGGTTTGCATAATCATTATATATATAGCCACTCACGTAAGATGGACATTCGTAGTAATCCGCATAATAGTTGTTGTAGTCAGGCTCATAGTAATAATTATCATAGCCGTCGCACTCGTTAAGATTCATTTCACGGCTTTTAAAATAATTCGTAGGTGGTGGGTTACCGTGCTTATGGAATAAGCACGGTAACCCACCACTCATGACCAGTTAATCGTCCCGTATGAGGTAAGGCTTTAGGCGTGAAATGTTGAACACCGCTCATAGGCTTAGGGCCAAGATTCTGAGGCTGCTGATAACGAGGCTGAATACGGAACACGTTACTACGTGGGTTATAATGTGGTGGTGGTGCACTGAACATTTGTTGAGTACGTGTTGGCATGCGGTACTGAGACTGATGTTGAGGGCCCACATTAAACTTAAATTGATTTTGCGGTTGAGTAAATTTAAATGGTTGAGGTTGAGGTGGCATCCACATCGGTCTCTGAGTAGCGGGTGCTAACATCATAGGTGGAGGCTGGAAATTTTGCTTAGATTGAGAAGGCATTGGAATTGGTATTTGTGCTCTTGGAGGCGGCTGGAGAGTCTTAGAATGTACATCATTATTACGCTGTTGCAAAATATTTAATTCCTCCTGAACAAATTTCAATGCCTGTTCTATTGTAGAAGGGCGCATACACCTTATTCTAGACCCTAAGGGCTCATGTAAGCCACGAACGAAAGCCTGCATAGTGAGCTTTTTATACAATGTCCGCTTCGACTCGATAGTGGTAGGGATAGTTTCGTGTAACGATATATATGTCATGATGGTACTAAAAAGAGTCTGACAATGATCGTAAAACTCTTGAGGGCTTTTGTGGCCTTGCGAAGCCAAGGAAAGGTCATTGTACAGCGCAGTTTCGTCTCGTTGATCTGCGAAGTTGTTAATAAGAGATTCGCGAATTCCTAGCCAATTATCAGGGATGCCATTAGAATTTATGATTGAAGCCGCAGGTCCGGTGATTTTATTCAAAATTCCGTTCAGTAAACATAAATTAGATAATTCACTACCGGCTTCAGAGCTCATGTAAGTTGATACGACCTGATCGCATATTTTAATAAATCTGGTGAGAATATTTGGATTACCGTCGAAATCTGGCACGGGGCGCAAGGCCTTATATATTACATCGGGATCATAAGGCATTTTGGAACTTAAATTTAATTCTTCCTCAATATTCCTTAAATTATCTAAATCTATATTTCGACGAGACTGTCGAAAACCAGCCTCGCTAGGCCCCCTATTCTTTGGGTGAAAAATTTTGGACAATAAGGATAACACTTAAAGGATAAAAGGAAAGCAACACAAAAAGAAAGTTTTGCGTACTTACAATATCATTCTGGTTTCCTCCGCGTATCGATTTTCGGATACTCGTCCCCGGTGCTGCTGCCACGTGGTTCGGATATTAGATTAAGGCTAGAGAGCCAAATCAGCGTCCTTCAGCGCCAGCCGAAATCTACCGATTTTTGGAGATTTTAACGCCGCGTACTGACTCTAATATCCTACCGACTGCGCCAATTACGTTAGCTGCAGCCGCAGGACTTAAAAAAAAAACAATTCTTAAAATATAAATTTAATAAAAGAAAGGTTACATTAATTCTATAACTAAATTAAAATGATTAGCTAGGTCGAAGTGTGACCGAAGAATGACGAAATCCGGTGCTCACTTCCACGGGCGTCGGGTTGTCGGCGCCTGCTGACTCGGCATCTCGTGACACGCGGCTCCGTCGTGTTCGTCTTTAAGTAGGTTTTACATACTTGGCGATTTTAGTGTAATAGAACTACGTAATTTGCGGACTGTAAGTTTGTTTTTATAAACAGACAACATCATTTAAATGCATTTTACGACTACTTTCCGTAGGAGCATGTGCCTTCTCCGGTCGAGCCGACCCATTCATGTTGCAACCATAATATAGGTATAGCGTGGATCTTAATAAATATATTAAATGATTTTCACGGGAAGTAGGTATATAAATCTTGTATTTACTTTTGTAACAGTCTGCTGTCCTGGTTGTTTTCAATCACGAACAAATATAAAATAAGTAAAAAATCTTCGTAATGCAAGTCTTCGTAGGAAACCAGATAACATAGATGTTCGCGCCAAACACTGGTTTCGGAATCGACGTTAGAGGGCGCGCGGCTCGGTGCCATACCGGTTTTAACGCGGTCGAGCGGTGCGTGTTGAGAACGCGTAAAGGTGCAAGTCAGTCGTCTGCCAGCTGTGCTAGCGTCCGCGCGCTGTCAGTTTTTGTTCGGGAACTCGGAATAATTAGGCGCGGTTCGTAAATATACTGTCTAGGATTTGTGACGCGCATTCCTTGCTGGAGAGCTTCCCAGGGACTCATTGTGTCTCAGAATCTGCTTTATAACAAACGAGAGTTAGTGGCTTCTGTAAGTTAGTTAATAGTACGATAGAGTTAATGGACTGTCATCGTGACGATCGAAGAAAGTGACTGTGGACGGCGCCGCGGAAGACCTCAATTTGGAGCAGCCTGGAACTCGGCCGCTGCTGGTCGCCTATGCTTGCCAAGGCCCCACACATTCACACCTCACTGTACACTACTCGCCATCCCCTATTACACACACTCACGGCCTGCCCAAGCCTTGGTGCGAAGTTAGCTTCGG